CAGCGCCTTGGGGTACGGCTGTGGGGACAGCCTCTTCCTCAGCTCGCAGCAGGTATGTGTGCTCCCAGCTGTGTCTTGAAGCTGCGAGAATGGCTCTCTGGGTCAGACTGAACTCATCAAACCCCAGGTTTGTCTCGAGCAGTAGCTAATTCCGTGTGCCTTGCAAAGACTGTATGGAAATGGCAAACTCACAGCCACGCTTCCAGGAACACCTTTTGTACCTCCACAGGTTTGTGGCTCCCTCTGTCACCTGACGGATTTTCCTGCCATTAATTTGACCGATTCCTTTCTGAGCCCACGCAGACTTCTAGTATTTGCGGTGTCCTGTGGCAGAGAGCTCCACAGATTAACACTGGCCGTGGAAAGATGCTCCACATCTTGTTTGTGTGGAACCTGCCTCCAGCTTAATTTGGTGCCCATCTGGTGAGGGAAGGGAAGGCCAGGGGTGTTCTGTGTTTGCCACCGTATACAGCAGAGAGACGCTTGATTTTGCATTAAACACGGGGTTTGAAATCCCCAGACAGACTTAAACTACCGTTGGGATCCTGCTGGATCAGCTTGCTGAAGATCCAGGGTCTCCTGTCTCTCTCAAAAGTCACCACCAGCTCACGCTGCAGTGCCAGGAGCAGTTAGCATCCTCCAGGATAGCGATTGCTGTTTGCCAGGATGTGTCCCAGCAAGGTCGCAGGTTATATCGGGGTAAAGATGTCCAGGAGGACATTACAAAGGTCCTTGGAGAGGGGGACGGTAAGGAGATGGTTGAGCAACTGGACCTCAAGAGAAGATTTGGGATGTGGGGAGATGTGGGATTCCTAGCTCTTCCAAGTATCTTTGTTTCTTTTCTTATCCTGGCAGGGCTGAGGATGACTCAAGTGCTCTGCAAGGACTGAAGGGTGCGTTGGTGCCCGGCAAGGAAAGCGAGCCAGTGTGAGAAGGAGCAACCAAGCCTGGGGCTGAGATACTATTTTTAATGCATTTACGTGTTTTGGGCTAATCCCAGCTCTGTGCCTGATACTTCACTGGGGCAAGTAGCCCAAGGATACACATGGTTTTCCGATGATACTCAGAAAGGCTGGCAGGGGTTGTCTTCATTTCTCAAGACAGGTAACAAGGAGCAAAACCAACGCAAATGCACCAAGCCTTGCACGGTGGCCGGGCTGGGCCAGGGCTGAGCAGGTCCATCGCAGGGCAGGAGCCGGCCCTGGGGAGGCAGTGGGGCAGCACGAGACAAGACAGGGTGTTTCTTACAGCGGACAGGCTGTGGCTTCCCAGGGGTGACAGCAAAGGACAGGAGTGATCCTGGGTCGCGGGGCACGCAGGGACACTGCTGCCAGCCTCCCCCCGTGCTGCCCAGCATTCACAGCATGAAATGAATCCTGGGGTGACTGCGGGCACCTGGTCCCTGCAGCACCCTCCTCACCCAGGTGCCCCGTTTGCACTCAGAGTTAGGCACCTGTTTGAGCCCAGGCACAGCTTCCACTAATCTTTACAGCAGGAGGGTTTCCTTAGAGGGGCGGGTTCCTGCAAGCCCAGGGCTTTGTGTGTCTCTGTTGCGAAGTCCTGCACGCCTGGGGTTTCAATTTTTAATGATGCACTAGTGAGATGAAAGAGCAGGGTCTCTGCTAGGCATGTTTTATGCTGCTGACAAGCAGCATCTGCTGCGGCAGATCTGCTGCGGGGACTGTGCACAGAGTTGGCCAAGTTCAAATTCATGGAAAAGGCGTTCATTTTGACTCTCCTAAAGACACGACCCTGCAGCAGACTCTGTTAGCGTTACAGCTGGGCTTTCAGAGCATAGTGAGCCATTTTTATATCCGCAGGTAAAAGCAGAAGGGTTTTTCCTGTGTTGTCCTGCTTCCTTTCTGTTTCCTTATAAATGAACTCTGCACACTTTAAGGGCCGGCGTCAGCGTGCCAGAGCAAGCCTGCAGTACCCATCTGGTGGGTACGGCTTGGATCCCAGCGGTTTCTGGAGCCCCAGACGTGGGGGGGAGGATGGTTGGATTTTCCTGTAACGGAGCCTGGAAAGGGAAGCATCTCGCTTCCCTAAGGGATATTGAAAGAGGAGAAGGAGGAGACAGTATTTAAAACACAGAAAGCAACCCATAGTGTAGTGCAAGGTAGAAATGGGCAGCAGAGATGATTTCAGGCAGGGAAGCTTAGGGCTGTAGGGTATAGGCTATGGAGCTATAGCCCTCTAAGGTCATGTCACGCTACTGAATCATCTGTTGCACAGATGAACTATAGCTACTTCAAATAGGTGGGTTTGTTCATATTAAAATGGCCACTCTGGGTCATGCCAAAGGTCACTGTAACTCAAAATCCAGTTTCTGACCTGCTTGATGATGCTGATGCTAAGGAAACGGGGATATAAAATAATGATGCCACTCTTGCACCGGCTTAAAGTCTGGCAGTCTGTGAAGCAGGATCTCAAAGGCTGTGTCTGCATCGTCGTTTCTAAGAGCTATGAACTTGTCTCAGGAC